AAACAAACAAGGTTATTTGGCCTCTCTTGTCTGGACTGACTTGTTCTGATTGTCCACAGGACAGAATGTGCAGGATGTGCAGTTCTGGAGAGTGGAATTCCTTCTCAACTAGTTCAGGAGTATCAATTTTCCCAACTTGAATTCCCAGTGAACTTTTTTTTTTTTTTTGATAAATTCATGAATTGTAAGAGATATGGGAGCCAATCAAAAATGGTTCTGAGGCCCCTGATGTGAGTCCCTTAATATGTCAACAACTTCTGAATGGGTAAAAGAAAAGAAGAAAATCCTGTTAGGCTCCTTCAATTTTAATCAGAAATTTCTGCCATGGGAGATGTCAAAACAAACAGATAACCCTTATTCTTACCCTGCTAGAAACTTAATATTTTCTGTTTTGTAATTCTTTTATTAAAAAGAACTTCTATCAAACACTTGCTGCAGCTTTCAACAATTATATTTTCAATCATTCCAGATAATATGTTATCTGAAGAAAAGCTAAGGTAAAAAAAAAAATCACAATATGTTCTAACCTGGAAAATGGCAGAATGGATTAGTTCCAGCAAGATGTGCTTTGTTGTGTTTTGTCGGTGGTGGGTCACATCTTGGAATTAAAACATCCCACAGTAATGGCTCCCTGTGTGTACTCTCCTAACACTTAAAAGGACACAAAGAACCTTACCTTCAAGGAAGACACCTTTCCTTCTAACACTAAGAAACCAATCTCTGTCTTCAATTGCTTGGATATTCTGAATTTCTGTTGGTGCCAACCCCCTCTCTGGGATTACTAGTTTGTATGGAAACACAGTCTGTGCTGTAACAGCCCACATCCTGGAGACTTTCAAAAGAACTCCAAAAACTTGGTGGTGGGGGGATAATATCTGGAAACATTTAGTTACCAGGTTCTTCAAACTCAAGTAGCTTACACCATACACACCCTTTCTCAAGTCAAATACTCTTGCTCGCCTTCTTTATCAGTTCACACCAAAGTTTCTGTCTACCTTTAAGAGAAAGGACATAGATACCTCTGTATCTTTCATGTATCTATCTGAGAGCCCTATCAAGGCCATTTATTGTCTCTACCTGCACTCCTGCCTATCCTTTGGGTGTTTACTGTTCGCCCTGATCAAACCCACGCATTCTACTCATGTTTAGTTTGATTAGCAGTTCAATAAGACAACGTGGAAGAGAAGTTAGAAGCGAAAGCTATTGGCACAAATGAAGCTTTGGACTCCCTGTGGGTTTTGAGCATCTCTTCCGTTCCTGACCCCTTAAGCTGCATCGATCATTCAGGTCTTGATGATACAAATAGCCACAATGACTGAAAACAACTTATAGGAGCAGATTGTCTCAGTTCTGATTTCTGCTGGTGCTCTGTTCTTTGGCCCCACAGGTTGGCAGCCTTCTCAGCAGCTGCTGTCCCTGTCAATGGGTAAAGGCATGAGGCAGTGATCACAGACACCTGGCTATGGCTTACAGCAGAGTCACACAGCTGTACACATGAAAGAGCAAGAGCTGGAGAGATTCCAGTTTGGGCCCGAATCACTAATCATTTCACTTCATGAATAAAAGCAAAGGCTTTATAAGCTTACGTTATTTACAGTGCTCCGGTTTCCCAAACATCCACCCGACGTTGAGGACCACCATAACACAGGGAACAGGTCAGTGAACTATGTACAGAATTTACAAGGAAGTTTACACAGTAGTCTACATTCCATTAACAAATGGACCTTTGTGTTTTCTTTCAGATACGTGGGTGTTTTTCTCTTCTATTCATCCCAGAAACTGCTGATTGAACTATCTTGAGCAAGTGGTTGCATGCTCCTTTCACCCCTTCCTAGAATAAATGATGATACTTTAAGAAACAAACGGTGGAACATCACCCCTTTGACAAGATACTGTCCACAATTTTGGACATAAGAAATCTCAGAGACATCTTTTTTTTTCTTCTAGAAGATTATACTGTTTCCTTTTCGTTTAACTTGGCAGATTGTAATCAAACCCCCTCTAAATGAATATTCATAAAATAGTCATTGGTTTTAGGAAGATGGAATTTTTGTAAATTTTCTATGGCTTTCTTAAAGGAAAGTCCATTCTCTTAAGGACCCTAAAGCAATTATTCCTTTCCTCTGCACCATCTTTTTCTCATTTTTAAGATCTATCATTGACTGTAGTGTACAACAAAGTATATAGATACACTTTATGTGCGTATACACAAACACAGATTATACATTCAGCAGCCTTTCCAGCCAGCTGCTGTTGCTATTTGGCAACAGATGAGACTGAGATACTAATCCTGAATCGTTCAAGCAGAAATAAGCCTTTACCTGGGTCTTTGCCTCACAGAATTGCCAAGTATAAGGAACACCCAATGTTTTATGAGCAGTCACAGTTGTCAAGTAAAAGGTACGAATGTCTACTGTGCCCACAGCCGGGTAAGTCTTCAACATGATCTGTCCCACAGTTGAACTGTGAAACATAGGGTTCTCTGTATGTAAATGAGGCATAAGAGAGAAAGTCTGCAGCCTTCAGTCTCTTCTGTTCCTTGATGCAGGAGATGATGGCTATTTTCATAGCGAAAGGAAATCAACTCAATGATAGTTAAATAACAACCTTTGTGTAATGTAATCTGCATCTTTCAAGAATGGGGGCCATGTGAGGGCATTTATGAATGTTTCATGACTTTTATATTTTATTTACATCATTTTGGGAAGGAAGAGGGAGAAAACTAGAGAAGGAAGGTGCTTCCCCGTCAGTGTTTGGCTTGGGAAGGGAGCAGAGAGGGATGGATTAGTCTGGGAAGTGTTCAGAAGGTAGGACAAAGATCAAGACCTACAAGCAAGACACCTTTTCTTGATGCAATAGAAGCTTCAGGCTTCTATTGCCTCTGAGATCAAAGCCATGTCAGATTTGCATAATGGTGGCTGTGATACACATACGGTTTCCTGCCCAGTGGGCAATTCAAGCCTAGTCATTTTACATTTTAAAAGGTTAAAATGTAGGAGGAAAATGGTGTTTCCCCCTTTTTTTAATGCAAAAGATTCTTTATATCTAAAACTATAACAAAATCACTTTAGATTTTAAAACAGAAGATATAGTACTGAAAATATAAACTATCACAATCTTTTGTGAGAAGATTTAAATAGACAGACACGTTCTCTCTGATTTAGTTTGTCTTTCTTGAAAGCCATTTGAAGAGCTTTGACCTCAGAATGACTAATTTCTGTTCAGCATCAGGAACCTAATATCCATTCCTATGTTTAAAATCAATGACTGCTGAGTGGCTCTTGGGTATTGGGAACCTCCCACTACTGATAGGACCACATTCTACTGTGTCCAGGGATTGTCCATGGCAAAGCATCTCAGCTTGCTGGAAGCTGAGTAGAGCTTTTTAGAAAGACAACCCTGTGACCCCAGGCTGAGGATAGCTCAACTAGGGAAGTGTGTTCACACACTTGAAAACCTAACTGAAAATTTGTCTTCAAAATCCTACCACTCCTCATGAAATAGCTGCTATCAGTTTTTTGTTTTGTTTAAGGTACAGTGGGATCTTGATGTTTTTACTATTGTCTGTTATTATATCCAGCCACACTCACTTATTTAAGCGTTCTTTCCCTCTTGCTTTGTAAATGAATATTTTATATTCTCCTCTTGGGCTCCTTGATATAAATTCCAGCCTTCCCTTTCCAATTGTGACTATAATTGTTAGCAGCTCATACTACTCTGCACATCGATTCTCTTCTTTGAGGAGAGCCAGAGCATCAAATGAGGCGGTCATCCCGTCATCCTGATTAGCCCCGCAGTTCCATTCCTGGATCATGCCTGGATCGTGCCAAAATGGCCATCATCCATGGCTTCTCAATTTGTGCTCTCACTCAACCTTGCAAATAAACATTTATAATTTTACGACTCAGACCAGAAGAAAATGAGATTTTTAATGCTATAAAACGGGAAGAACTCAACAATAGCTCGTTGAGCATGTTTAGAATTGCGTTGCTTTACTGAAAGTCATGAGAACCACGACCCAGAATAATCCATGAGAGAGATGAGGCAGTGCAGTAATGACAGTGATGAATGAGTGGAGACACTTCCGGTCCACGCCTCAGGGGTGTGGTTAAAGGCTCAGTGTTTTGCCATTTCCACTTTCTTTTCTTTCTGTGTTTTTACTCCTTTAAAGCTTTTCTTAACCTGGAAATCTGGCTTTGGAGGAAGACATTGATGTGGAGGATTAGCATTTCCCGGGTCATTCATTTTTGTAGCTTGAAATGTATAAGTTCAGAGAGCAGAAACAAAAAATGCTGGCAGAGTCTTGTGCAATGAGCTTGCCTCCATTAGACACTGCTCTCTGGAAGGCTAAGAACTACATACAATTTGACTTAAGATTTGGCAGTGCAGATAACTGCCCAGGCATCTTACATAACATGTAAGTCTTGCCTTCTTCAGGGAAATAGCAATTTTTTTTTCTCAAGGGAAAAAATGGTCTCCACCTCCTTCAAAGCCCTCATGAGTTGTACCCCCCATATCCTTTCCTTCTCTCTGGAGCAGGAACTGTGAAAAATGATCATATGTTTTCATGTCATCAAGAGACTCCAAGGCTCACGAAGGACAGCCGGGGCTGCTCTCCATAACGGACAGGAAGAAAACTATTTGTTCTCCCTCAAAACTCTTGAGAAGTAAAGAAAAATGGTCTCAGTGACTACCAGTTAGATTAGACTGGATTCTAATGTCGACTTTGAACATTTAGGCAGGCCGAGAGAGGACCATTTTTAGGAATATCCATGGTCACTGTCAGATGGACACAATAGGGTGAGTTTGGGGAAACTGTGAGCAGCACGTGTTAATGTCACTCTTCCACGGAGCTCCGAAGCCTTTCTAGAAGGGGCTCAGGAGAACATCAGAGTGGATGGGAACCGTCAGTGTTATATACCCTCTTCCTGGAAATCTGCAACTTGTCAATGGCTTTATTCTTCTGAGATGCTCAAGGTTTTTTTTTCTTATTCTTTTTATTTCTATTTAATTTTTTTTGGCATCATGAGATGGTTACCGTTTACCCAGAACACAGTGCAGGTGGACAGCAAGGTCCACTGTACATTTTCATTTTAAAACAATCCAGTAAGATCCAGGGCAACTAAGAAAGACTGCCAACAATATCTACACCCTCCTACCTCTCTCTTTGTGTTTGTAAACAAAGCAGTTGATGGAACTCTTACAGAGCTGGTACCTTGGCCCACAGTAGACAGGAAAAAATACCTTTTGTTGTTGTTGTTGAAGTAAACATGGTGTGATAATAAAAACTGACACACAGGATCGAAAACCAACTGGAATGCTGAATCTCTTACCTCAAAAAACCACAGCAGTTACCGCTGTTGGGAATCTGTGGGGTTCAAAAACAAGTGAGGAGGAAGGTAGTCTAAACTGAACCATAAGACTGACCTTAGTGTACATAGTAAAGCCAATAAACGACATTAAAAAGTGAAAAGGTGATGGGAAAGAACATTCGGGACCACTTGTCTATGGAGTTCACGTCAGTCAAGTCAGGGATCTTCACTTTGAGCTGCGAGGCGCGTCTGCGGATCCGCCCCTTGCCGGGCACCCCATGCCTGTCCAGCCCACGCCCAAAGCCCTCGCGGCTGCTCAGTGGCTTGCGGTACTGGATGCTGGCGCTGTCGTATGAGTACATGGTGGCCTTGGGGTCACTTACACCCGTGAGCACCTCGGAGCCACTGGTCTCGTTCCTGATTTCCAGGGTGCCGAGGAGAATATTGCCGTGAGCATCAACCTGAGGGCAGAGAGGATACGTTCAGATGCTCACCAAGATCATTTACTGTTCTGTTGTCGCCACAGGAGGACACATTGGTCCTTTCCATTTCCTGTACACTGATCCTTTTCAGTAGGAAACTGGCTCCATGTGCCTACTGACAATGAAGAGTATCTGTAGTTCGTCTGTCTATACCGATCGATCAACCATCTATCAGTCAGTCATCAGATCTACTCATCTATCTTCTGTTACATATCTATCACTCATTCTCCATCTCTGTCATGTATTTATATCAATCAGCTATTTCTATCAATGACCTGTCTTCTTCCAGCAATGATCTATTTACCTTCTACGTATTTGCCTATCAACTGTCAGCCTATATTTACTAGTCATCTATTTCTTATCTGTTTGTCTACCTTCAGTCATCTGTTTATATCAATCATTAATTTCTATCCATTATCTACCTGCCATCTATGTGCCTATCACTGATCTGTCTATCGATGATCTATTTTTATTTTCTATTTACTTATCACCTGTCAACTTACCTCTATTAATTACTTACTGTACAGTCATCGGGAGGGCTTTTCTATTGCCCCTTTTATCTCCTGCAAAATGACATGGAGACCTTGTTTTTAATTCCAAGCTTTAAGGACTATCGTTGGGCAGATACTCATCCACTCTAACACTCTACAGATGCTTACGTCCCAGCCACCGCCCCGTCACTTGTCATCTTAGTCTTGCCCTGGCTGCTCCTGCTCAGGCCCAGTCTCTCGTGGTGGCTAACTCCTTCCCACCTATCTCTCTTTGTGTGCAGAAGTCCTGTCTTCTCCTCTCTTACCCAGCTATGGGTTGATCAGTTCTTTATTAACTGATCAGAAGTGATGGAAAACTATCCCCCAATGACTTATCACCCACTAAGTTATCTATCATTTATCCATGTTCTTATTCTATATCTATTACTTTTTTATTTCTCTATCTTTACCCGTCTATCTATTATCTATTTACTTCCATCTAATTACCTATGCACCACCCATTCATCTTTATGATCTATGATCTATGCATCACCACCATCATCATAATCACTATCATAATCACTATCATCATCATCATCTATTATTTATCTTCTATCATTCACTACCCATCTTGCTCTAATTTGGTTTCTGTTGCTGTTTGCGCTGGCTAGTTTTAAGTCAACTTCAAACACTAAAATAGAGTCCTCTGAAAGGAGGAAACTTCAATCCAGAAAATGCCTCCATAAGATCCAGCCGTAAGGAGTTTTTAAATTAGTGACTGATGGGGGAGGACTCAGTCTATTGTGGGTGGTACCACTTCAGAGCCAGTGGTCCTGGGTTCTATAAAACAGAAGGCTGAGTAAGCCACAGGGAGCAAGCCAGTAAGCAGCACTCCTCCATGGCCTCTTCATCAGCTCCTGCCTCCAGGTTCCTGTCCTGCTTGAGATCCTATCCTGACTTCTCTTGGTGATGAACAGCAATGTGGCGGTGTAAACTGAATAAAACTTTTCCTCCCCAACTTGCGTTTTGGTCATGGTATTTTATTGCAGCAATAGAAACCATAATTAAGGCATTGTTAAACAATACTTTGACCAAAAACTACTTGGGAAGGGAAGGGGTTGTTTAGTTTACACTTTGAGGTTATAATCCATCACTGAGGGAAGTCAGGTCAGGAACTCAAGGAGAAACTTGATGAAACAATGGAGGAACTGCTTGCTGGCGTCCTTTCTGGCTTAATCAGAGAGGTTTCTTATACAGCTGAGGCCCACATGCCTAGGCATGGTGTTATCCACAGTGGACCAGGCCATTTGACAAGAACTATCAAGACAATCAAGACAATCCCTACACAGGCACGAATCCAGGCCAGTCTGAATTGGGCAATTCTTCTGTTGTTTCTTTTTCTAGGTGACTCTAGGTTGTGCCAAATTGGCAATAAAACTTAACCAGCACATATTTTTTTGTGCTTGTTTGCTTTCTATTGCTGTGATAAAACACCATGACCCAAGACAACTTGGAAGAAGAAAGGACTTATTTAATCTTGCAACTCCCAAGTTACAACCTGCCACGGAGGGAAATCAGAGCAGGAACAGGGCAGGACTGGAGCCAGGAACTGAAGGAGGAACATGCTTACTGGCTTGCTCCCTATGGTTCTCTCTGTTTGCTTTTTTATACAACCCAGGACTTCCTTCCAGGGGCAGCACCACCCACAATGGGTTAAGCCCTCCCACATCAATCATTAAGCAAAAATATGCCCCCTACAAACTTGCCCACAGACCAACCTGATGGTGCATTTTCTCAGTTGAGCTTTGCTCTTTGCAGATGCCTTCAGTTAGAGTTAAGCTGATGGAAAACTAACCAGCGCAATTGACCCCCTTGTCAACTTGAGGGACAAATGACTGTTAAACCATTGACCTTTCCTTTCCTGTATATTCCCAAGATCTCTTGTTAATATCATAATATGAAACATAACTCCAGGCCGGGCGGTGGTGGCGCACGCCTTTAATCCCAGCACTTGGGGGACAGAGGCAGGCGGATTTCTGAGTTCGAGCCCAGCCTGGTCTACAGAGTGAGTTCCAGGACAGCCAGGGCTACACAGAGAAACCTTGTCTCAAAAAAACCAAAAAAAGAAGAAAACAAAAAGAAGAAGATAAGCCGGGCGGTGGTGGTGCACGCCTTTAATCCCAGCACTTGGGAGGCAGAGACAGGCAGATTTCTGAGTTTGAGGCCAGCCTGGTCTACAGAGTGAGTTCCAGGACAGCCAGGGCTACACAGAGAAACCCTGTCTTGAAAAAACAAAAACAAACAAACAAAAAAAGAAACATATCTCCAGCTCCAGGAGATCCGTCCAATGCCCTATTCTGGTCTTTGAGGGTACATGCATGTCTCACATGGACACACACACACACACACACACACACACACACACACAGACACCCAGGCTACATACACATAGGTTAAAATATTTCCCTTTGAGTTTGTAGTTCAAGATAAAAGAAATAAATCATTAGTAAACACGTGTGAAGTTAGGATGTCAAAACAGCTGATGAGGGAAGGAAGGGAGATTAAAGGCCGATTTCAAGAGAGAGTGAGGAAGTCAAAGATGTTGGATTATAGCAGGAATACCTTCTAAACTGGAAAGTCCACACATGGAGGTCTGGGAAGACGACATCTCACAGGAGGGTATGCTAATGTTTCTCTTTGCCTTCGTGGGATGCAGCTCTGGCCTAAAGGGAGGTGTGTGTGTGTGTGTGTGTGTGTGCGCGCACGCGCATGTGCGTTTGTGTGTTCATACCATATAATGTGAGTTGGACTTTGAAAAAGTCATGCCTAAGAAAGTTTGTTGCTGAAGTTGTGGAGCTGAAGTGATAGGGATGTGTATTTTGGAAGATGAAGAATAGAACACATTCTACATCTGAAATACTCAAGAAAAACATACAACAGAGTATTAAGGCACATATCTCATTGAGGTGCATTGCTGATGTCGGAAATCATGATGTTATGTTCTCTATTAAATGCTAAGGTAATGGTTTCATCAGGGGGAGAACTTATTGCTAGTTACAGGAAGCTTCACAAAAGCACGCAGCTGGGGTAGAGTTTGGAAGGATGTAAACATGGCAGAGCAAGGGATGGGGGTTGGAAGCTGTGTTCTCATCCTAACTATTTTATTAACAATGACCTTGGCTTAGTCAAGATCTTAGCGTTCTCATGCATAAATGTGTGCCTTTCCCTAGTTAATCTTATATTTTTCTTAAGTTGGTGCATATACACAGACATATAAAGACTTTGTGAGATTTATCACTTTGTTTAATAAATAATAAATGATTATTAGTAAGTAGAGAAGTCTCTGAGGTTGTTAGAAACTATAGTTTCAAGTGGTGTTTTGACACGTAAAGAATGAACCTAGCTCGACAACTTTCTATGAATGTTGAACTCATTGTTTAATTGTTAAATCGGCAGTATAGTGTTCTTTTTGAGGAACATTTAAGAAGATCCACATAAGAATCCTTTTAGACTTCCAGTAACTTTCCTTACTAAAATAGGGTTATTGTAAAAGCTGATGTTACAGACTTTGCCTGTATATGAGTGTGTGTGTGTGTGTGTGTATGCAAGTATATATGCCTAAGAATCCTTTTATACTTCCAGTAACTTTCCTTACTAGAATAGGGTTATTGTAAAAGCTGATGTTACAGACTTTGCCTGTATATGAGTGTATGTGTGTGTGTGTGTGTGCGCATGTGCAAGCATATATGCCTATAGGTGTATATATGAGGTGTATATGTGTGTTTGTGTATGCCTATGTGTATTCATATGCGTATGTGTACATGTGTGTTTTGTGTATGCCTCTGTGTGTGTGTATGCCCCTGTGTGTACGCATATGTGTGCATGTGTGTGCATATGTGTGTGCACACTTATGTGTGTGTGTGTGCTAGATGGCTTATTCATGTAGTACTGATACAGCTTCTCCCAAAATAAGAGCCACATGGAAAATGGCTACTGGTTTTTCACATCTTCAGACATACGAAGGAGGCATGCTATGCCTTGCCTCATCTGTACAGCCAGGCTAACGAGGGCTTGACACCTAATTGAAGCAGGACTCAGATAATAAAGATTTTAGTAGATGCTGGTGAGGGTGTGGAGAAAGAGGAACACTCCTCCATTGTTGGTAGGACTGCAAGATGGTGCAACCACTTTGGAAATCAGTCTGGTGGTTCCTCAGAAAATTGGACATAGCATTACCTGAGGATCCAGCTATACCACTCCTAGGCATATACCCAGAAGATGCTCGAACATATAACAAGGACATATGCTCAACTATGTTCATAGCAGCCTTATTTATAATAGCCAGGAGCTGGAAAGAACCCAGATGTCCTTCAACTGAGGAATGGATTAAAAAAATGTGGTATATTTACACAATGGAGTATTACTCAGCTATTAAAAACAATGAATTCGAGAGTTTCCTAGGTAAATGGATGGAACTAGAAATTATCATCCTGAGTGAAGTAAGCCAAT